GTGAAAACAACAACAAAAACTTTACACCAACAATCCCACTTAGTGACAGCCAATTGGTCATTTTGTTTTTTAATTAAAAAAAATATCTTGTAATCTGTTTCTATTCATTGAATCCCCAAAATGAAAAAAATATTAACTTTGCAGGCCCTCTTATTCGAGCCTGTTCATGGACAGCTTTGTGAAGTGCAATCTACTGTCCTACCCTTAGCATTGGTTTGTCAGGACATACAGGAGCTGGCCTGCAGGCACTTTGGTGTAGATATGGAGCAGTGACGCCAGCCACTGGCACCAGGTACGTGCCAGTCTAGAGGGGACTGATCAGTCAGCCGACCAGACCATGACCTGGATTACTGGCAACCTTTCTACCAGTCATCCAGCTCTTTACAGAATTGCTGCTGTGGGTCTCCTCCTCCCAACCTCTACTGCAGGTAAGCATTATTAAATTCATTCATTCTTGAACATTAATGAAATTCCAATGACAGTTGCAGATGTATATCACTTTGCTAGATGTTTTTCAACATTTCAAATATAAAATTTTTTTACTTAGTTAAGTTTAAACAGGCTGGAAGTTTTAAATTTTCAAATATTCACATCAAACAAACAATATAAAATATAAGATATGAGGTTAACATAAAATGATTACTTTCATTTATTAATTTCAGATTTTGAGCGAGGATTCAGCTGCCTGAAGAGAGTTAAGACTGAAAACAGGAATTGTCTCTCTGTTAAAAGTTCTAAAACTATCTTCTTGCCGTCTCCCTGTAAGGACCCCCATTAGAATCTTTTCAACTTTGAGAAGGCAGTCAAAGGCATGGAAGGACAACAAACCTAGAAGACAGGCCCTCTTTTAATGATGTTAATGAAGAAAAAACAACTGAAATATACTCATTTAAATAGGACACACACATACATATAAATGTTGATCTTATTTTGTGAACTTGTGTTTATATATAATTGTTTATTTATTTGAATTGTTGGAAATGTAAAAAGTAAATAATAAAAATTAAGAAAATGTTTATCAAGTGAAAAGCTTTCATTATTTGTTTTAAAACAGCCCACAGCAGTATCTTGACACCTTAAATGGCAAAAATTTTCGACACGCGGTATGGGGGTCAAGACCCCCTCCCGCACCCACCCCCGTCATATTAAAAAATTGTAGCGCTTAAAAAAAATCCTGGGGAATTCCCTGCTGTTGAATGGTTTCTAATAAAACATTTCCTTACTTAAATAACTCAAATTAGTACATATCTTAATTACAAACCATGCTTGCTAAACGTTTTAAACAATATCTGTTTTCTTTGTAATGGTGTTTAAAATTCTAAGGGAAGCAACTCTGTAAATACGTTATAGGAATAATAGGCTAAATACTGTTAAATGTCACATTATCATTAAAGTTTCATGCAATGTTCATCTATCAGTTATAAGGAGAAAAGAAATAAATGAATGTCAAACCTTTTAAATTAAACTACGACATAATTTGTAACATTCACGTTTTTATGATAGTCGCGAAAATAAATGACAAAATAGTTGGACGGGGGAGCATTTTGTTTGCAAACCTGATACATTTAAAATAACTTCAGATTCTCACATTGTAGGACTATTTCAAATTTTCATTTTGGAATAAGGATTATATTTATTAATTGATGACATAAGGATATTCAATATGTTTCATCATAAAGAAAAAAAATCAAATTTGAAACATGGGCTTATCCCTCAGTTAGTTATATGATTGTCTCCCCTGTGTTGTTTGTTTTTAAAATGGTTAACATAAATTTACCTCCAAATCTGACTGAAGAGGAAGAAATTCTTCGACAGAAATATGCAAGACTACGTAAAAAGGTATGATTGACAATACAGTAAAGATACAACCCTTACCAAAAAAAGGGCTCTCTGGTGAACATTGCGGCAAGTTTGCCGCAAACATTGCGGTGAGTTTGCGGCAAACTGCTTTCAGCAATTATTTACCATGCAAATGAGGTTTGCGGCAAATTTGCCGCAACTCATGAGGTTAGCGGCAAACTTGCCGCAAACTATAGGGGGAGGTAGCTTCTGTTTGCGGCAAATTTACCGCAAACCTCATTTGCATGGTAAAAGTTTGCAGATGTTCGCCAAAAGTTTGCGGCAAATTTGCAGCAAACTTCATTTGCATAGTAAGTTTGCGGATGTTCGCCAGAAGCTTTTGGTAACACTGCGGCAAACTTCATTTGCATATTTGCCAGTTTCAGCAAATATGTTATGGCGATATTTTGGCAAACATTTTGGTAAAGTTCTGGCGAACAATTTTTTCAAACATTGGAATAATAAAAACTAGCTGAATTATAAGAAAACAAATACATATTGGTTTAACACATTTTTTCAATAGAAAATAAAAGAAATATTACAAACATATCAGTAGAATAAAATGAAATTTGATAAATTTGTAAAATAAAGAAATTAATTCCCCAAAAGAGATAAATTTTACACACATTTTATTAGCAACTGATTCTATACATATTTGACTTTCATAAATTTCCACTCTTTAGTTATGATGCTATCATGAATTGTTCATATTACTTAATAATCAATTAAAACAAGAGCCGGTTGAACCGGGGTGATCCTAGATACAGAAAAGTATATCTTTTGAAGTTTCAGGGTTATGTCCCAGACAAAGTACAAAGTGTGATAATTCCAAAATAGTTGTAAAATCCCACTTTAAATAACAACGTTATGGGCCGTACACATTTTTGCTTCAAGGTCATGCTGTGACCTAGACGGCTAGACCTTCAAGGTAATGACCCAAATGTTGCATGTGACATATTGTCTCAATATGGTGATCATTTCGGTGAAATAGTTGTAAAATCCGACTTCAAATAACGAATTTATGGGCCGGACACGATTTTGCTTCAATGTCATGTTGCGACCTTGACCTTCAAGGTATTGACCAAAATGGTGTGTGCGACACATCGTCTCAATATGGTGATCATTTCTGTGAAATAGTTGTAAAATCCGACATCAAATAACCAAGTTATGGGCCGGCAAAATTTTTGTTTAAGGTCATGCTGTGACATTGACCTTCAAGGTAACGACCCAAATGCTGCGCACGACACATCGTCTCAATATGGTGATCATTACTTTTAAATAGCTTTAAAATCCGACTTCAAATAACGAAGTGATGGGCCGGACATGATTTTGTTCAAGGTCATGGTGTGACCTTGACCTTCAAGGTAGCGACCCAAATGTTGCGGGCGACAGGTCGTCTCAATATGGTGATCATTTCTGTGAAATAGTTTTAAAATCCAACTTGAAATAACAAAGTTATGGGCTGGACACGACTTCAGATTCGTATGTACGTACAGACAGACAACCCAATGACTATATGGTCCGCCGAAATTTTTCGGGGAGCATATAAACAATGTTTGACAATAGCTATTTTTCAGCACATGTTGCAGTATTTCTTAGCACCATAAATGGGAAATATAATATTGTTGTAAAAGCTAAAAATCAGAAAAGTTACAGTTTGAAATCTTCTATCTGGACAAAAAGTTTCATTCAAACATGAACTGGCATGGATTAACATACATACTTCGACATCCACTTAGACAAATCACTATTAATAACAATAAATACTAACAATAGCGTTATGTGTTATGCAAAAATAGACTAGACCAATAATGGCTTTCAAAATTGTAAAAATGAATCTCAAAAATATATTTTGGTCTTAAACAAACAACATATTTCATGGACATAATACCTTCAGATTTAAACTCATATGTCATATAACATTATGATTGTGAGCAAAACAATATCTGACACGAACAATTATGGCTTTCAAAATTGTTAAAATTAATCACAACAATATATTTGGGTCTTATACAAACAACGAATTTCATAGACATAATTTTTTGTTTGCTTGTTTTGGGTTTTTACGTCACATCAACACAGTAAAGGTCATATCGTGACGTTCAGGTGCCCTTCCTTGCATTATTTCAGGCACGAACGGGTATCTGAGTAGAACCACTGACGTTCAGTTAAGCTAGCTGGATAGTTTCCTCACAAGACAGATTCCAAAGTCCCTGTCGGGATTCCAACCCACAGCGGTGAGGGGCAAGTGGTTTGAAGTCAATGACCTTAACCACTCGGCCACGGACACCCCTCATGGACATAATAACTAAAGATTTAAACTAAATGTCTTTAGTCATGTCATATAACAATTGCAAGCAAAACAAAAACAAACTAGAGCAATAATGGCTTTCAAAATTGTAAAAATGAATCTTAACAATATTTTTGGGTCTTATACAAATATAGACATAACTATTAAAGATTAAAACTAATTGTCTTTAGCCATGTAATATAATGATTGCAAGCAAAACAAAAACTGACTAGAACAATAATCATAAATGGCTTTCAAATTTGTAAAAATGAATCTTAACAATATTTTTGGGTCTTATACAAACATAAACATAATAACTTAAGAATAAAACTAAATGTCTTTAGTCATGTCATATAGCGATTGCAAGCAAAACAAAAACTGACTAGACAATATCGTAAGTTTGCATGAAATTGGCTTGGCAATTTATGAGATGTTGTTTAAAGATCAAGTTTACGGACGAAAGATAGACAAAAGCTCGCAATGTCACTTTGTTAGCTAAAAACGCACTACTTTACTCTTTCACTCTTCCAAGTTTCAGTGCCCTGGCCATTGTGTGTATTTTGGTGTAACTGTTTTGGTGACTAAGCTTCTCTCCATATTTAGTTTATTGGTGCAGTACACTGAAAAAAAACAAGGTTTATTTTTCATTTCCATGTTACCATGTTTATACTGGATAAAACTAGAACTATCACTGAAGGTGAATGATACCCCAAAACCCCACTTTGAAGTAAAGTGGCAGTAATCTATTAGTAAAGCCCACCTACAAATGAAGAAAATAAACACCAAAGGCAACAAGATATGTTTGTAAAACATGTATGCCCCCTATCAGCAGCCAATTATTCATGTGATAAGGTAATTATGCATGACTTCTGACCCAGTGATCAAACAATTAATAAGGGTTATCAAGTATCTACTGGTCATGACCTTGACCTTTGACCCCTTGACCCAAAACTCAATAGGGGTCATCTGCTGGTCAAGACAAATCATCATACAAAGTTTGAAGTTCCTAGGCCTAAGCGTTTTTACTTAATTGATCAGAAACCGTTTTTACTTACAAGGTCAATGTGACCTTGACCTTTGACCCCTTGACCCCAAAATCAATAGGGGTCATTTGCTGGTCATGACTAATCACCATGCCAAGTTTGAAGTTCCTAGGCCTAAGGGTTCTTTTATTATTGATCCGAAACCGTTTTAACATACAAGGTCAATGTGACCTTGACCTTTGACCCCAAAATCAATAGGGGTCATCTGCTGATCATGACCAATCACTATGCCAAGTTTGAAGTTCCTAGGCCCAAGTGTTCTTTAGTTATTGATCAGAAACCGTTACTTACAAGGTCAATGGGACCTTGACCTTTGACCCCTTGATCCCAAAATCGAAAGGGGTAATCTGCTGGTCATGAAAAATCACCATACCAAGTTTGAAGTTCCTAGGCCTAAGCGTTCTTAAGTTATTGATCAGAAACCGTTTTTACTTACAAGGTCGATGTGACCTTGACCTTTGACCCCTTGACCCAAAACTCAATAGGGGTCATCTGCTGGTCACCACCAATCATCATACAAAGTTTGAAGTTCCTAGGCCTAAGCGTTTTTAGTTAATTGATCAGAAACCGTTTTTACCTACAAGGTCAATGTTACATGACCTTTGACCCCTTGACCCTAAAAACAATAGGTCATCTGCTGGTCATGACCAATCACCATACCAAGTTTGAAGTTCCTAGGCCTAAGGGTTCTTAAGTTATTGATCGGAAAGCATTTTTACCTACAAGGTCAATGTGACCTTTCCCTTTGACCCCTTAACCCCAAAATCAGTAGGGGTCATCTGCTGGTCATGACCAATCACCATACCAAGTTTGAAGTTCCTAGGCCTAAGGGTTCTTTAGTTATTGATCGGAAACTGCTTTTACCTAAGAGGTCAATGTGACCTTGACCTTTGACCCCTTGACCCCAAAATCAATAGGGGTCATCTACTGATCATGACCAATCACCATACCAAGTTTGAATTTCCTAGGCCTAAGGGTTCTTTAGTTATTGATCCGAAACTGTTTTTACCTAAGAGGTCAATGTGACCTTGACCTTTGACCCCTTGACCCCAAAATCAATAGGGGTCATCTACTGATCATGACCAATCACCATATCAAGTTTGAAGTCCCTAGGCCTAAGGGTTCTTTCGTTATTGATCGGAAACCGTTTTTACCTACAAGGTCAATGTGACCTTGACCTTTGACCACTTAACCCCAAAATCAATAGGGGTCATCTGCTGGTCATAACCAATCACCATACCAAGTTTGAAGTTCCTAGGCCTAAGGGTTCTTTTGTTATTGATCGGAAACCGTTTTTACCCAAGAGGTCAATGTGACCTTGACCTTTGACCCCTTGACCCCAAAATCGTTAGGGGTCATCTACTGATCATGACCAATCACCATACCAAGTTTGAAGTTCCTAGGCCTTAAGGTTCTTTACTTATTGATCGAAAACCGTTTTTGCTTACAAGGTCAATGTGACCTTGACCTTTAACCCCTTGACCCCAAAATCAATAGGGGTCATCTACTGATCATGACCAATCACCATACCAAGTTTGAAGTTCCTAGGCCTTAAGGTTCTTTAGTTATTGATCGGAAACCGTTTTTGCTTACAAGGTCAATGTGACCTTGACCTTTGACCCCTTGACCCCAAAATCAATAGGGGTCATCTACTTGTCATGACCAAT